ACCTCGGGACCCTCGAGACAGAGACCCCAAAATCCCCGAGACCCCCGGGACAGAGACCCCCGGGATCCCCGGGACCGAGACCTTGGGACAGAGAGGTCAGGACCCCCAGACTCCCGGGAAAGAGAGCCCCAAACCCCCGGGACAGGGACCCCGAGACAGAGACCCCAGAATCGCCAGGACGGAGAGCCCAGGAGAGAGACCCCGAAACCCTCGGGACAGAGACCCTGGAGACCCTCTGGAGACCCCCACTCGGACAGAGACCCCCGACACCCCCTGGACATCCCCTGAACCCCCCGAGCCAGACACCCCCCGGGGCCAGAGAGAGCCCAGGGGCAGAGACCCCTCCGGACACCCCTGGGAGCCAGAGGCTCCCGAGATGCCCCAGGGCCCAAAGACCCCCAGAGGGACACCCCAGAGCCCCCCGAGACACCAGGGACGCCCCCAGACTCAGGAACGCCCTTAAACCGGAGCCCCCCGAGCTGCAGAGGTTCCCTCAGCCCTGGGACCCCAAACCCTCCCTGGCACCTGAACAAGAACCCCCTCCAGCCTCAAGACCCCCAAATCAGAGGTTCGCTGCCCAGAAATCCCCCAAAACCACACACCCCGAAGTGCCAGGACCCCCCAAAAGCCCAGACCCCGAAGGGCCAGGACCCCCCCTAACCCCAGATCCCCAATCCAGGACCCCCCCTAACCCCAGATCCCCAATCTAGGACCCCCCCAAAATCCCAGACCACCAATTCCAGACGCCCCAAAACCCTGGAGCCCCAATCCCGGAGCCCCCGAGACGAGAGGGGACAAAGGGGACAAGGACGGTGGGGGGGAAAGGGGGACAGGGCCGAATATTAATGACCCCACAGCCAGACCGACCCCTCCTCATTAATAATCATTAATATTCATTAATATTCTAATTAGCCCAGGTGCACCTGTTATTGGCGGCCGCGGCCCAGTTCTGCCGGGTTCATTTGCATATGCGCTGCCGTGATTATGAATATTTAATAGGAATCGTTAAATACCTACAGCTAGTTAAAACCCGGGCTCATTTGCATACATTTGCATAGCGCTAATAGATTGCATACGGGGACAGGAAAACAGATCGGGTGGGGGGGCGGATTTTAATTAACAAAGACTCGGCTGAGGGGAGAGCGGGGGGCACTGAGGGGGGGCTGGATGGGAGGGGCGTCCCTAAATGGGTCTGGGGTCCCTAAACGGGTCTGGGAGTTCCTAAACGGGTGTGGGGTCCCTAAGTGGGACTGGGGGAGGGGGAGAGGGGTCCCTAAGCGGGGTTTGGAAGGGTCCCTAAACGAGTTTGGGGGTCTTTAAAGGGGTCTGGGGGTCCCTAAAGGGGTTTGAGGTCCCTAAAGGGGTCTGGGGGTTTCTAAAGGGGTCTGGGGGTCTCTAAGCGGGGTTTGGGAGGAAGAGGGAGGTCCCTAAGTGGATCTGGCGGTCCCCGAGCCAGGTCTGGGGGGGCGAGAGAGGGGTCCCTAAGCGGGGTTTGGGGGTCCCTAAAAGAGTTTGGGGGTCCCTTAAAGGTGTCTGGGGTTGCCTAAGCGGGGTCTGGGGGTCCCTTAGCGGTGTTTGGGGTTTTCTAAGTGGGTTTGGGGGTCCCTAACCGGGGTCTGGCCCCACTTGGAAAATAAAATTTATTTTTTTCCATTTCTGTGCCTTTGGAAGGTGAGGACCATTCCCCCTCATGAATTATTCATGAGCACACCCCAGCACGGGAGCTCATTTGCATATTGATGCCGCAGTGCTGCATTATTCATGAGCTCGGGTTTGGGGCTGGAGCGGGATGGAAAGGAGGCGGAAAAGGAGAGATCGGAGTCCTCAAAGTGGGGGCGAAATGAAGGGAGAGCGAGCGCGAAAATCACCAAAAATTGTGAATTTTAACCTTTCAGGGGGCATTTTACAACCTAAGCGGGCTCTTTATTGATATAGAGATATATGGATTATTTATATCTAGCTTTATGTATGTAATACACACTATATATATTTTATATATTATACATTCTCTTATTTTATCAGTATTGAATTTTTTATATATTATACTATTACGCTATATATTGTGTATTTATAAAAATATTTATTGGCATGTATTCATATTATACTATATATTATTATATATTAATGCATAACTATGTGATTTGTACTAATATATAATTATATTAATTAATTTAATGTTTTATTTATTGATCCTTGTTAATATTTATTCCTATATGTTATACGTTACATTATTGTATTAATATTTTGTAATATTTATTATTTACTAGTTTTATATATTACTATAGTATGTATTATATATCTCTGAAGATTTATAGGTGTCTTATAAATACTTTATAAATATTTATTTTAACCGCATTTTATATTAAGTTTTTATGTATTAACGGCCAAATATAGAACGCTATTATTTTCTTACCAGTATTTCCTATTATTCTATTTGAGATTTAGTTAAACTTTAAACAATTTAATACTTTATTTAAAATAAAATATTTTCCACCCGCGCTACGTGCCCAGCTCCACCTCCCCCTGCACCTGGGCCAGGTGAGTCCCTCCCAGTCCCACCTGGGCCAGGTGAGTCCCTCCCAGTCCCACCTGGGCCAGGCGTTTTTCACCCCAAAAACCAAAGAGGGGGGTCCAGGGCAACCCCTCCCGTCCCTTAGCGGCTCCTTCACCTCTAGACCCCGCTCAGGGCTCCCCCTCCCCTCCAGCCCCCCATTGTCACCTCCAGGCCCTGTTTAGGGACCCCTCCCCTCTATCCAGCCCCCCCCTGTAGTGACCCCAGACCTGGCTTAGGAATCCCCCTCCCCCCTCTCTCCCATAGTGACCCCCAGGCCCGGTTTAGG